GCGAGATCCACACTTTGAAAAAAGAAGCGCCCTCCATCCGTTAAGCTCTTGAATTGTTTTCACGAATTTGCGCGGCGCCAGGACGATAGTCACATTTAGAACACGACCTGCCCTCCATCCGTGAAGCTCTTACAACAGTTTACACCGGATGCGCGCGGCGTTGAGGCGAGAACCACATGTTGAAACCCACTTGCCCTCAATTCGCGAAACTCCTTGCAAGCTTGTAGGTCGGATTCGCGCGGCGCTAAGGCGAGAGCCACAGTTTGAGACCACTTGCCCTCAATCCACTGAAGTCCTGCAATAGTGTACGACGGATGTGCGCGTCGCTGAGGCGAGCGCCACAGTTTGAAAGCTAGCAGCTACCCGCCTTCCATCCGTGAGACTGTTACAAAGTTGAAGTTTCAGGATCATAATTGTTGAGGGAGTCTCAGGCGAAACGCCCCGCCCGCCCTTCCGACTGGCCTCGGGGTGCGACCCGGAGGAGGAGGAGGAGGAGGAGGAGGAGGAGGAGGAGGAGGAGGAGGAGGAGGAGGAGGAGGAAAAGGAGGAGGAGGAGCAGGCGGAGGAGGGGGCAGGGGGCAGGGGGCAGTGGAGGGAGGAAGGAGGAGGGAGGAGGGATGATGGGGGGTGGGAGACGCGAGCGAGGAAGGAGGGAAAAATGGGGAAGAAGGCGACTGCGCATGGGGGGCGCGTTGCATCGCAAGGGGGGGGGGTTCAGGCGGGAGTGCGCGGCGCAGGGGGGAACGGTGCAGGGAGGATTGGCGCTTCTTCTGCTGCCGCGCAGGCGCCTGGTCGTCCCGTGGAGCGAGGAACGAGGAAGGCTACGCACGGAGAGGACGGGTGGGGGAGAAAGGATGTGGTCTAAGAGGGCTCGTCGAGTGAAATGGTATTGATGGGAAACTGCGCCTCGTCGAGGGCGCTCTAGGGTGGAGTCGTTGTGTGGATTCCAGCCTCGCCTTCTGTCTGCCGCTCACTGTCCACCGCTGCCTTGCCGCCGCCTCCCGGCCCGCAGGGCCCTTCAGCACCGTGGTTCGCCAGGAGCGCCGCCCCTGGGCGCGCGCGACAGAAAAGAGAACGCAGCCTCTTTCGCTGCGGGATCCTTTTTCCGCTCGCATCACTACATGTCCCATTGTTGTGAGTTACCACAGCGATGCCCACAAAAGGGGGGTGGCTGAGGGCAGAGAGCACTTTGCATCGGGAGGGGGGGAGGGGGCGAGGACACAGGGATGAGGGACGCAGGTGACAAGAGGGCGCAGCGAGAGAGGGGGGGACAAGAGGAAGGCGCAGGGTTAAGCTTGGGGGGGGGGGAGGGAGAAGGGGGCAGCAGCAACAGCAACAGCAACAGCAGCGAAGCAGCTGACCGAGGTCGCCTTGTGAGAAAAGCCCGCTAGGTTCAGCCCGCTAGGGTCAGCCCGAGCGCGCCGAATACAACAACCAATGGAGTGCAGAAGGGCGCGTGAAGGAGCTCGTCGTTTGAACCCCCCGCACCAAACCTCACGTGTCGCGCCGTTGTTTTGACGTGTTTGACGTGGGCCCCCATCGGGGTTTTCGGTGCCGCCCCCGATGATGCGTTCGTTTTCTCGTTGGTTGGTGTTCGTGGGCTGCGCCTCCCCCGCTGGGCCCCCGCCCCGGGGCGTTGCGAACAACGCCTTCCGTGTTTTTGTTGTTGTCGCGACGTTTGGAAACTTGGGGAGGCATTGCAGCTCCTCCTGCTCCCCTTTCCGTGTTCGCATTATTTTTCGTTTTCGCGCTCCCCATGATTTTCACTCTCCTTATCTTCACCACTGCCACGACCACCATTATCATCATCGTCATCATGGTCGCCCCCATCATCATTGTCATCACCATCATCGCCACCACCATCACCCCCATCAACATTTGCATCACCGGAACCATCAGCATTACTATCACAATCATCGTCATCATCATCACCACCGCCATCATAACCATCATCGTCACCACCATATTCATCATCTTCGTCGTCATTCGCATCATATTTATCCTCATCAGCCTCCCGCCCTTCTCCACCCAGGCCCGGATTCACCACGAGATCGATGCGAATCTGGCGAGCAGCGTTTATGCAAGTTGGTAGCACTGCTTCTCCAACTGTCCTCCTCCTATCCAGAGGCATACAGGGGCAGTGCTCCGGGGGCTTCCTGAGGCCGCGCGTGCCCACGAATGCCCACAGAGATCCAAGCCAACGCCCACTCCTCCGCGTCCTGTTTCCTTTTCGACATCTTGACGTTCGACGGTCTGATTCAAGTTGATGTCTTCAATGTTTTGATTCGGTGTCTTGATTTTCTAATTCGCAACCCCTGAAAGTTCCTCCCCTTTTTCTGGGCGTTGCTTTTCATCCCGAGTTTTGTTGGTGACAGTTCTGGGTTTCGTGGACCCTGGTAACGGCAAGGCTGGGTTTAGTTTGGGCCTCCTTTTTTCCCAACGTATGTTCTGGAACATGAAAGGTGAAAACAATCGGTTCGTGGAAACGGGAACACCATGTGGTCTCGGATTGGATCCACTTTCGGAATTGGCACGCCATTGCGACACGGGATCGGTAGCACACCGGCTTTGTCGCTTCCGTGGCCCATGCGTTCAGGTCCCAGGGCATGGCGAAGACCCCCATACCACGAGCAAAAAAGACCTCCGTTTTGATTTGCTCCATACGTTGGATGTCTTTAGTTACAGTCGGGGCGATGAAAAAGGAATTCTTTTCGTTGGGGAGCGACCCGGTGTTCCTTGATTGTTTTACAGTTGGCCTTCAGTCTTCCTGCGGTTCCCCATGGGGAACCGCAGCTTTACCGATGGAAACAAAGGGGTCTCGTTCCTGATTCAGGGTTCCTCAGGTCAACGCTTAAGTCGGGCCTGTCCCTCTACATGAGGAATATTCAAACATATCCCCAAAATCGTATGGAGACGATTTCTGTACCTTTCTGGAGTATGGTTGAGTTTGTTGGTGTTGCCTTATTTTTTTCTCTCAAAGTCCGCCTGTAAGGGGACATGCCCGACCCAAGTCAACGCCCCGACTGTGCAGAGCCCCCGCCAGGTCCTCGAGCGGCTGTGGCCGGCGCTGGCGCAGCTCGGCGTGCGGCGGCTCATCCCGGGGGCGCCTGCCCGGCGTGGCCGCCGCGCACCCCCCTCGGGGCTCGAGAGACGGGGGTCAGTGCAAACGGGGGTCAGCCAGAGCGCCGGCTCTTGCAGGATCCTGCAGGGCCAGGGTCGCATTGACCCGGGCTTGGGTGTAGGATCCTGCAGGATCTTGCAGGATCCTTGGCATGGACTCAGGCTTGGGTGCAGGATCCTACAGGATCTTGCAGGATTCTGCAAGGCCTGACTGACCCGGGTCTGGACTGCCCCAGGTCAGAAGATCCCCGACCCCCCCCCCCGGGACGCAGAAATTTGCGAGGCGGCCACGGTGCTGCGACCTCTCGGCGTCGAAAGTCGGAGGCTGCCAGAAGGGTTCGTCGGACAACCCTGAGATCCTGGCGATGCAATTTTTTCACAGCCAGCGTTGTCTCTCAATTTGGGGCCCTGCCGTGGGAGCCTCACAGATCGATCCAGCTCGAACAATGTCGCAGAAAGATGGGGTCTGGGGCTCCAGTCGTGATTTTCTGCAGCGTTTTTTGTTTTTTCGTTTTTTGTCTTTTTTCCAATGTCGGATCTCAGGGAGGGTTGGTTTCGCCAGACCTGAGGTCCCCCCAAGCCCGACCTGAGGCCCCTCAGCTCGGCCTGAGGCGCCCCAGCTCGGCCTGAGGCGCCCCCGGCAGCCATCGAAAGCACCCTTCTTGAACCCTCCCGCCGCTCCCGAGGAACAAGTCCCGCACGGCGAGCAGAAGTATTCGCGGTCACGCGGTCGCACGGACCCATTCCGCGCGGGGCATTTGGGCAACAGCGCGCCATACCCGCAGGGGTCGTGGCCCAGGGGCCCAGCCCGCGAGGCCGCGGATACGGGTCTGTGGTTTGCTCACGAACAAGATCACAACGGGAGGGGGACTAAAACGGAGGCAGGATCGGGACAACATCGGATTGGGATGCATCGGGATCATCGGGGATGACGGGTGTTTCGGGCGCCGCGGCCTTCTCAGACCGTTCCAGAACCCTCTGAAAGCGTTTCAGAAACATCCAGAGCGATATATCCGAATCTTGCCGATTTGGGGGAGGGAGGAAGTCCAAATGTTTTTGACATGGCCTTTAGTTGGGCGTGATGGGGGTGGTCGGATGTCCTCGACATGTGGTTTCTTGCTGGGCCCCCTATCCAGCCAAGAGGACGGCCTCCCGCGTGGTCGGAGGAGAGGGCAGCCTCCGCGGCGGAAAGGGCCCCTCGAGGCCCGGAAGGGGCGGAAAGCTTCCAAATCCTGAATGGTCGTTATTCCAGATTTCGTAATTAAAGGGAGGGGGTCTCATTTCGGGGGGGGGTCTCTTCCAGGCTATCTTGGAGGGCCTGGGGGGTCTGGGGACGATGTTTTGGAGGGTTCTCCCACGGGGGAGGTCTGAAATGGCTTGTCTTGGAGGGTCCAGACCCCCTCCCTTTTATTACGAAATCTGGAGTAGTTGTTCGCTCATACAAGGCGCCGGTGCAGCGTGTCGTCATTCATCGGCACGTTGTTGGCGCAGCAGCAGCCACTAGGACGCCATGCCGGCGTGCGTCCCCGGACCAAGGGTAGTCCGAGGGGCTTGGCACAGATTCCAGAATCTGTGAGTATTGATGTCTTTAGAAGGTGCCTTGCAAACCACATGACCCTCCCCCTTCCAGGCGCAGGCAATTAGGTGCAGACGACGGAGACGACGCTCCGTGGGCCTGTCCTGGAACGCGGTCGGAGAAGGATTTCGAGGCGAAGCCAGCCATCGAGACCCAAAGTTCAATTGTTCGTCGAGTCTGCGACACATGCGTAACAAGTTGCGTCGTCCTGCGGGGCATTCGACGCAGCTTTTCGCAAAGGTTCGACGAGGGAATTAGTTCTGGGTTAACTACGCCAGTTCTGCAGCCGCTCCCCTGCTCGAAGGGTCGATGGGCCCGGTTCGCCGTTCACTGCTCCTGGGGCCGGTGGGGCCCCCGCCGGGCCGCGCGGTTCCTCGCCGACGCGGTGCGGGGCGCGGGCGGCGCGGCGCGGCGCGCGGGCGGCGGGGGCTCCTGCGCCGAGCTGCTGGAACAGCTGCGCCGCGGAGGTCGCCGGGCGCCCCGCCGCCGTTTTCGTCGGTCGGTCCGGCGGTCGCACGCGAGTGGTCGTCGATGCGGGCAGTAAAGACAAGGGCGCCCTCGAGGGCGCGAAGTTATTCGCGCTTCGCGGTTCGGTTCCGATTCTCCCTCAAATTCCTTTTCTCCCTTGGGTGGGGGGCGAGAGAGCGAGAAGTTCTTCGCGCCTCGCGCAGCGAGAAGCTAGGCGCCCTTGATCTTATCCGTATCAAGTGCATCTCGGCTCTTTTGTAAGGGGCGCCGCAAGGCCGAAGCGCCCTAGACTTGGACAGAAACTTGGCGTCTGGGGTCCAGATTTTGATCCATATACAGTGCGCCTTGGGTTTTTGTTTGGAAATGAGTTCGGGACTCCAGGCGGCCGTGGATGTGGACGCACGTCTTGCCCGCCCGCAGTCGACCCCCTCGTCGTGACAACAGGTCACGACGGTCATTGTTCGCTTGCTGCGTTATGCCTCTATGGCGACCCTCGCCCGGCCCCAGGGACCAAACAGAAACGACTCGGGATTGAATTTTGGTCCTGGGGAGTCGGTCGTCGACTCGTCGTCGTCGTCGTCGTCGTCGTCGTCGTCGTCGTCGTCGTCGTCGTCGTCGTCGTCGTCATCGACTCTTCGTCGTCGTCGTCGTTGACTCGTCCTCGTCGTCGTTGTCTTCGTCGTCGTCGTCGTCGTCGACTCGTCGTCGTCGTCGTCGTCGTCGACCTGTCGTCGTCGTCGTCGCCGTCGCCGTCGTCGCCGTCGTCGTCGACGTCGCCGTCGCCGTCGGCCGTCGGCCGTCGGCCGTCGGCCGTCGGCCGTCAGCCGTCGCCTCGTCGTCGCCTCGTCGTCGCCTCGTCGTCGCCTCGTGACCGTCCTCGGCGGCCGTCGGCCGTCGCCTTCGGCGGGTGCGCCGCCGCCGTCGGCCGGCGGCCGTCGGTCATCGGTCGGTCGTTGTTTGGTCGGCCGTCGGTCGGTCCGTCCGTCGGTCACCGCCCGTCGCCTCGTCGTCGCCCGTCGGACAGAGGAGGATACAATTGGGTTTTGCTTTGGTTTTCGATCGGAAATCGAAGTCTAACTTATGGAAAAAAGGGGCCTCGTTCCTTATTTAATCGCTTCGCTCATTCCGCCGGCCCATATTGTCGCACCGTTGTGGGCTAGCCGAGTTTTGGGGCCTCTTGGGGGCCGTTTTGGGGCCTCTTGGGGCCTCTTTTGGGCCTCTTGGGCGCCTCTTGGGGCGTCTTGGGGGCCTCTTGGGGGCCTCTTGGGGCCTTTTTGGGGCCTCCTGGGCGCCTTCTGGGGCGGAGGGCTCGATTTTTCAGTTCTCGGTTCCCCTCTTGAGCCCCTCTTGGGCCCGTCTTGGGGCCTCTTGGTCCGTCTTGGGCGGCACTTGGGCCGTCTTGGGGGCCCTCCTGGGCCGTTCCGGGGCCGTCTTGGGAGCCTCGTGGGCCGTCTTGGAGCGGTCTTGGGGGCCTCTTGGGCCGTCTTGGAGCGTCCGGAAGCCGAAAAAGCCAGAACGCAAAAAACATAGAAAAAAACAATGAAAATCAACGATTTTGGCCTCTTGGGGCCCTCTTCGGAGGCCTCTTGGAAGGCCCTTGGGGCGTCTTGGAGGCCTCTTGGGCTGTCTTGGGGCCCTGTTGGGCGTCTTCGGGCGATCTTTGGCCGTCTCGGGGCCCTCTTGGACCGTCTTGGAGGCTTCTTGGGGACCTCTTGGCCCGTCCTGGGGCCCTGTAACAGGGCTCCGGCATCTCTGGCCCGACCTTGCCGGGGACTTGCCGGGACCTTGCCGGGGTACTTTTCGTCCGGGGACCCCCAGGGGCCGCCCCGCGCGCGCGAACTAGAAATACTGTTAACCAGGTACCGGAGATCTTAGCACGCCCTGGCCCGTTGGGCCGGCGAATTTAGGGTTCCTTAGGTCAACGCCCCGACTGTAAGGTACAGATACCGATGCGCTTTCCTCTTTCTCGCCTTCAGTTGGGCCTCTTGGGAGGCACTCTCCGCCTCGAAGTTCCCGTCAGCAGCGGAATCATGCGGTGTCGGTATCCTCCCGTTTCTTTTGGTCGGTGGTCGTCGACGCGTCGTCGGCTGTCGTCGGCCATGCGCCCCGCCGCCGCGGCTTGCTCGCCGTCCGTCGGTCGCCGTCTGTCTGTCGGTCGGCCGCGCGCCGGTGGCCCCAGATGCCCGACGCCGACGGTCTGAGCTGTTCAATCCTGGCGTTCAATCCTGGCGTCGGTTCCCGATGGCGTTCCGACGGTCTGGCGTTCAATCCTGGCGTTCAATCCTGGCGTTCAATCCTGGTCTGATGCCCGACGGTCTGAGCCGTTCAATCCTGGCGTCGGTTCCCTGATGGCGTTTCGCTAGAGGGTTCTCTGATTTCGGCAGAGGGGCCACGGAAGAGTCCCGCAGGCCACGAGCCATAGCAGAGAAATGCACGACGGTGCACGTGGCCGTGCCCTCACCCCATGTCACACGGCCACGATCCCTACGCTCAGGAGTCCCCAGTAACCTCAGGAGGTCTGTAATCCTGTCGCCCCCCCAAAAAACTCTTGGCCGGTCATGGACGCTGCGCGTCCCCCAGGTCGTGCTGTCTTTGTCCTTATCCCCCTCCTCCTCCTCCTCCTCCTCCTCCTCCTCCTCCTCCTCCTCCCTCCCTCCTCCTCCTCTTCCTCCTCTTCCTCATCCTCCTCCTTTTCCTCCTCCTCCTCCTCTTCCCCTTCCTCCTTTCCTCCCTCCTCGACAACGGCGATGGCGGCGGAACTATAATTTGCCGTTTATTGTTGGTTGTCGGCAGCCCTAGATTGGCCCCGGGGGCAAAATCATTTGCCCGTTCTGGGAGGGTGGCGATGAAAGCCGTAATTAAAATGACATGTTTTCACTGGCCGACCTCCGACTCGTCGACCCGCCTCGTCACCTGTGCTGCTATAGTGGGGTGTAATCCTCGATCGTCTTCTGGGTAATCCTCAATCCTCGATCCTTGCTTCACGTTTTACTGTGGTGATCCTCGATGCCGTCTCCTGGGCCCCGCCTTCGGGCCCCAGGACCGCGAGACACGGGCCCCTGGACCAAACAACACGACCCCCAGGGAAGCGGTCGGGACTTGCGGGGCCTCGTGTCGTCGTCGTCGTCTTCGTCGCCGTTGTCGTCGTCGTCGCCGCCGCCGCCGCCGCCGTCGGCGTCGGCCGTCGGCCGTCTGGCCTCGTCGTCGGCTCGTCGTCCGCTCGTTGCCGTCGTCGGCCGTCGGCCGCCGCCCTCCGCGGGCGCGCCGTGGCCGTCGGCCGTCGGCTCGGCCGTCGGCCGTCGGTGGGTCCTCACCGTCGTCGCCCGTCGGTGGTCATCGGTTCGTTGTCGGGGGGAGGGGGGGCTGGGATCTTGGCGTTTGCAATTTTTTCACAACGGGCGTTTTCGCTCCATGTCGGGCCCCAGGGCCCCCACAGATCGATCCGGCTCGAAAAATGATGCCGAAAGTTGGGCCGTGGCTCTGGTCGTGTTTTGTTTCCGATGTTGCAACTTCTTTTTCGCGATGGCGGATCTCAGAGGGATGAGGGCGCCCCCCTGCACGTCGTCGTCAGGGATCAGCGGCAGCGGTTCGGGCTGAGTCCAGGAGAGGGGATCAGTGGCCACATGCGCACCCTACCCCCCCCCCACGGTTTCTGAGGGGGGAGGTGGGGTTCATTTGGCTCGGGAGGTCCCGCACGAAGTGAGTCCCACCTCCCCCCTTGGAAATCGTGGGGTGGTGGGGTAGGGTTCGCATGTGGCCTCCTAGGGGGGGGGGAGGGGCGGGCAGGGGGGATGGGGGGGGGAGGCCCGCTCCTCCCTCCCCTTCGTTGTCCTGCTCCTCCTCGGACCTCCGCCCCCGCAGCCCGTAGCCCCCCGCCCTCGCCCCGCTTCGCTCCTCCAGCCTGCCCCCCCCCCCCCCTCCCCCACGAGGAGGACGGAAGGAGGGAGGGAGGGAGGGAGGGGAGGGGAGGGAGGGATTAGGAGGGAGGGGATGGAGGGAGGGAGGGGAGGGGAGGGGAGGGGAGGGAGGGGAAGGAGGGAGGGAGGGGAGGGGAGGGGAGGACGGAAGGACGGAAGGAGGGAAGGAGGGAGGACGGATGGATGCAGCCAGGGAGGGGAGGGAGGGAGGTGAGCATTTTGTTGTTCCTCCCCAGGGGAACGATCCGACCGACCCCCTTCCCCTGGTAACGACGATTACCCAGGAAAGGAAAAATCTGTCATTATAGAGAGAGAGAGAGAGAGAGCAGGACGACCAGAGTAAGCCCAACATTGCCATTTGGCCCGAAGCCTGCCAGAGATGGAACCCCCGATCGCCGGCTGGGCGGCCCTGTCGGTTAAGGAGCTCAAGGCGGAGCTCTGGGAGCGCCGGGGAATCAGCCATGCAGGCTGCGTGGAGAAGCGCGACCTCCTGGCGCTGCTGGAGGCCAGCGAGCGCCACCGCGAGAGCGCGCCGCCGCCGAAGAAGCCGCCGCCGGGGCCGCCCGGGCCCGCGCCGCTCGCGGCGCCCTCGCGCGCGACGCTGCTGGCCGTGCTCCGCCGCACCCTGCAGCTCGAGAGCATCGAGGTGGAGTACGTCGACCACGCGGGGCGCGCCCTCGCGCTGACCGCCGCGGCGGCCCCCCTGCCGCTCGAGGATGCCCCGCCCTCGGCCCTCGCCCTCTACGCCGCGGGCCGCGAGCGCGCGTACCGCGCGGCGGCCGCCCGGGGCGCCGTGGCGCAGCTCCTGGCCCTGCCGGCGGCCGAGCGCGTGGGTTCCGACGCGAGCACGGCGCTGCTGGCCTACCGGGGCCCCTCGCTCGAGCAGCCGTGCCGCACCTGCGGGGGGGCCTCTGCCTGTCCCGCGGCCGGCCGTCCCTTTTCCTGCGTCCGGCGTGGGCTCGGCGCGGCTTCGGCGCGGAGTCGGCGCGGATGCGGCGCGGATTCGGCGCGGTGTCGAAGCGGAGGATGGCGCAGAGGGACAGACATCGGAGGCGGAAAAGAGGGGGGTGATGACTAGGGGGGGGAAATATCATGTCGGGGGCCACGCCTCTTCTTATTTCATGACGTCCCTGGCCCCCCCGCTGGGCCGCGCACATGCCGCCGGTCATGATCTGCACCCTTCCCTCCCCCCTCTTGGCCGCTCCCGGAGACAGAGTCCCCCGAAGTTGCAGCATGAGAGCAGCACGGGCATCCACTCTTCGCAAAGTTCAGGGTGGACGTGCACGCGTTCGACGAGGAGTGGGACTTCGACTTCTCGAAGCCGGCCTTCACGGACGACGGGTACGACGATGGCGTGCACCTGCGCGGCGGTCTGCGCTACCGGCGGCCGCTCGGCTGGGTACGCTTCGCGCTGAACGTCGACCGATTTGAGACCTCGCGCTGGCTCGGATCCATGGGCGAGCCGGGCGAGTGGGCCGTGGCGTACCACGGCACGTCCGGCGACGCAGTGGCCCCCATCGTCAAGGACGGCCTGCGCCAGCCTCGCACTCGCGACGAGAAGCGGCACGGCGCTCTGCACGGGGAGGGAGTCTACCTGACTCCGCACGCAGAAGTCGCGGCGGAGTTTGCGCGTGCAGTCCCGATCGACAGCGGCGATGGCGTGCGCCACTTCCAGGTGGTGTTCCAGTGCCGCGTCCGGCCCGGCGCTTACAGCTGCCACCGCGACCCTCTCTACGGCGACGTCTTCGTGGTCGGGTCGGAGGCCGACGTGCGGCCGTACGGCATGCTGCTGGGCGAGTGCTCGGCCGACGGCGTGCCGAGTCAGGCCTGGAGCCTGGAGAAGGGCCGGGTCGCGGCGCGCAGCATCCCGCGAGCCGCGCCAGCGGGCAGGTTCTGGGACGAGTTCTGGGACGAGGTCTGACGAGGAGCCGGCTGCGGGCATCGGAGGCTGGGGGACCTGGGAGCATGCGCCGCCAGAGAGAGGGGGGAGAGAGAGAGAGAGAGAGAGAGTAAGCCTCCCGTAGTCAGACACATCAGCGATGCTGCGGCACGCCTTCCCCTGCCAGGTCCCCTCCTCGTGCAGATCTTCCGTTCCACTGCGGCGTGGAGAGCCCCCTTGGCTGACGAGTGCGCCCGTGGGCGTCCCGTGCAGGCGAGAGCCACTTTTTGACCGCCACGTACCATACAGGAGCCGGAGCAGAAAGCAAAAGTAGGTGTCAGGCAAGAGCCACGTTCAAACAGTCAACGGTTCGACACAAAGCCTCCATCCGCATTGCTCTGCGATAGCCCCGTGTTTACTAGGAAGCGTCCTCATCCGCACAATTTCTGCAAGCTTTCAGGCGAATGTGCACTGTGCGAGTGCGATCGTAAACGGCCCAGCCTTCAGTGTAGCTGGTGGACGCGAACTTCACGACGAATGTGCGCAGAGGTACGGCGAGGACCATATCTGAAGAACCACCCGTGCTCCATATGCGTAATTGTCAGGACTGTCAAAATTCAGAATGAGACTGACGTGAGGAAGTCACAAGCGAAGGTTCAGGATCTTTCGACCCCATTCCTAGGGCCAGTTTTCATATCCTGGGTTCGGGGGCCTTGAGGCGGGGTTCAGTGCAAGCCGGGGTCCGTCAGGGCGCTGGATCTTGCAGGATACTGCAGAGCCAGGGGTGCATTGACCCGCGCTTGGATGCAGGATTCTGCAGGATCTTGCAGCCCTCTCCTCCTCCTCCTCCTCCTCCTCCTCCTCATCCTCATCCTCATCCCCATCGTCCTCCTCCTCCTCCTCCTCCTCCTCCTCCTCCTCCTCCTCCTCCTCCGCCCCCTCCTCCTCGTCCTCCTCTTCCAGGATCCTGCAAAGCCCGACGGACCCCTGTCTGGATTGACCCGGGTCATGGCAGATCCCCGACGCGTCTCGCTCCCGGGCATCAAAGACTCGAGCCTCGAGCCCTCGGCCTCGTCCGTCCGTTGGGGCCAGGACGTCGGGGCGGGTCCTGCCGTGGCCACGCGGGCGCCCCAGGAGAAGCTACCAATGCCAAGAAGCATGCACGACCTTCAGGCAGCGCAGGGTTTGTGGCAGCACCGTTGGAGCTTCGCGGTGGCCCTCCATCTCCTCCCTCCCTCCCCCAAAAAGCATGCACCGGACGGGGCTGGGACACGAGGAAATCCCTTCCATTGCGTTCCAGAACGCTCTCGGAGCGTTCCGGGACGCGTTGAGGAGGAAGCGCCCGATGTATCCCTCAAAGCCGCGGGATCTCAGAGATTCTCGATTTGCCTTTATCCGAATCAGTCCTCGTCATGGTTTCGTTTTAATGCAAAACGTGTTTCCCCTTACCGTGGCCCCACGATACTTCTCCCCCTCGAACCTTTCCCCTCGATCCTCGACCTCCCCGAAAATCCTCCATCCTTGACCCCTCCCCCCAATCCCTCCCCATCGATCTTCCAGGTGTTCGATCATGGACCCGTGTTGAGAGCATCCATCCAGCTTTCTTGCCGAAGACTGCCAGACATCGCCCAAGACTAGCAGCCTCAAGCCTGAGCAGAAGGCCGCTCAGGGCCGACAGGCAAGAAGGGGTCGATTGTCGAAAGCGTGATCCCTCCCCCTCGATCCTCGACATCCCCCCCAACCGCGAAGGCCCCCACCCCCGATCCCCGGACCCCTCCCGGGATCCTTCTACTGCGGTCGTTCTCCCCGGATCCCTTGTTCGCGGCCCTGGGGCCCGAGAACGGCCCCGGGAGGACGCACATTACCAGCCTGGAACATGTCCCTATCCCTATGCTGGGCATCTCCTCATCACGGTGCCAAACTTAGGGATTCCCTTATTCTTTGAGGGCGAATCCCCAAGATTGCCATCGCCTTTTGGCGTGCCACTCTCAGGGTCAGGGATAAGCTCGAGGCTGGTGAGCACAGGGCAAACACACGCCTCCCCGGACCCAGAGCCTCGACCCCGGCCGCCCCTCCCGCTGGCCGGAGCCCGCCTGCGCGGCCGAGGCGTCGGCGCCGCCGAGCCGCCGCGGCGAGCGCCCGAGGCCTGCCGCGCGGCGGGCTGCCAGAGGGGGGCAGACGGGCGTCGGGGGCGCTCCCCCCTCCTCCTCCTCCTCCTCCTCCTCCTCCTCCTCCTCCTCCTCCTCCTCCTCCTCCTCCTCCTCCTCCTCCTCCTCCCCCGTAGCCATTTTGGCTCAAGGGTGGGGTTAAACCCATCCTTAACTTCCCAACCTCCGCTCGAGCAGCAACAGGTGCATGCGCCCCGCGCGCCCCCGCGGTCCCCCTGGCCTCACAGTTTTGGTGGTGAAGTTTCTTCATCTCGTGTGTCAGCCATGGCAGACCAGCGCGCCTTCCATCAGTGCAGTAACCCGCAGTGCTCAGGATGGATCTGGGCAAATCGGCGGGCACAATTTTGTGGGGACTGTGGGTCCCCTTTCGGCAGGGCAGTTCGTTTTGCAGATCCGCAACCCCGACCAGCCCCCAAAGCCAAACCGGAGGCCAAGCCCCACGCCCGTGGCCCCCCAGGCCAAGGACGTTGGGGCAGGCGCTCTGGCAGCCGCCCTCCCCACCCTGCAGGCGTTGGGGGAGGGAGTGGGGGGCGCCTGCAATCAGCCCCCCCCAGCAGCGGCAGCGGCAGCAGACGGAGGAGGAGGAGGAGGAGGAGGAGGAGGCCCAGCAGCCTCGGCTGCTGCCAACAGCAGCCCTGATGCTGCCACCTTCGCCCAGGACCACCTCTCATTCCTCCGTCGTTCAGGACTCGACCAGGAGCATCCCCTCATCAAGGCAGCTACCCAGGAGCTTCAGCAAGCCAAACGGGCGGCTTTGGCATCGAGGAGCCTGGGGGAGCAAACTAAGAGCTTGGCTTATCAGTTGGATGCCCAACGGAAAAAGAGAGCCAATTTGGACGCCAGTAATAAGAAATTGTTGGAACAAGTTGCCCAGTTGCTCGAGCAACATTCCAAGGGCGAACAAGAGTTCAACAAGTGCGAACAGGAGATCACGGCTCTCCAGGCTCAGCTTACTGTCGCGAGGAATGCAGCAGCAGCAGAGCTTTCAGTACAGCAAGGAGTTGTTTCCTTTGTCCAGTCTCACCTCCCCACTCTCCCTGGGTATCAGCCTACACAGGTCCTTCAGGATGCTATGGGGGTTATGGTACGAGAGCTGGAGCAGGCCAGGCAGTTGCAGCAGAACGCAGCAACAGCCGTAGCAGCCCCAGCAGCACGGCCAGGAGGAGGAGCAGGCGGAGGAGGAGCCCCAGGAGGAGGAGCGGCAGAGACGGCAGCAGGGGCGGACGGAGCACAGCGGAGAGCGCCTCCCGCCGCGCCCGCCGCGCCCGCCGCCCCCGCGGCGCCCCGCGCCGACGTGCCTCCGCCCGCCGAGCCTCCACCCGAGGGGGCAAACGCGGCAGGGAGGGCGGAGGGGCAGGGAGCGCCTGAGGAAGGCCGAGGAGCAGCAGGAGGACAGCAGCCGCAGCAGCAGCAGCCACAGCCTCCCCTCCAACCTCAGCAGCCTCCGCCCCAGCAGTCAGCAGCAGCGGCAGCCCCAGCAGTGGCAGCAGTCAACGGCGGTAACAGTGACGGACTTAATGACCCTATTCCAGATTCCCCAGCCGAGATGGTTGAGCTCATGGATCAGGCCGATGCCACTAAGAAGCGGAGCCTGGCAGCTCACCTTGAAAAGCTGGTCCAAAGCATGGAGGGCAAGTCCGATGCTGACGAGGCCATCCTCAAGAGACTTCGAGTGCATCGTGATGCACTTCAGTCGGCCGGCCCGCCAGGTGGGTAATACTAGCCTCAAGGTTGTGACCATAAACGGCAGCTGCTGGAGGGCAGTGCAAGATTTTGTCACCTCTCCTTTTGCAGGACCCGTCGGCATTGTGCTAGCGCAAGAAGTACGCCTCTGGCAACCAGAGGCAATAACATCGGCTACTACATGGGCCAGCTCTCAGGGCTGGCATGCTATCGCCACGCCAGCTCGCTTGACAGACCAAGGGCGCCCCTCGGGGGGGGCACTGCGATCTTGATTCGAGCAGGTCTTGACTTAGGTGTTCGTTCTATCACACTACCTCATCTTGAAAGTCCCCATCGCCTGACAGCAGTTGCTGTGGAGGCACCTGGATTAGGCCAGCTGGCAGTTGTTCCGATCTATCTCTATGACTCGGAGGGGATGTCTCAGAGAAATGCCCAGTTGCTAGCAGCAGCGGGAGAGATCCAGCAGCAGTGCCAGATGCCGATGGTGATGGGAGGTGAGTTTAACCTTACTCCGACCACCTTGTTGCAGTCACACTTTGTGGTGAGAGCGACAATTCGGATTCGTAGCGCTGCTAAGCCCACGCATGTTGCCAAGAAGAGCAGGTCGATATTGGATTATTTTCTTGTGTCAGAAGCCTTGGATGACAGAGTGGTAGAGACCAGCATCCTCGAATACCCCCTGACCCCGCACAGAGTAGTGCAGCTGGAACCGAAACGTGGGCAGTATTTTATTCCAGTATTGCAGCAGCCTCAGCAGCTCCCCCGCAGCTTCCCCTTCGGCCCTCTCCTGCAGCAGCTTCCCTGGACGGCAGCGACGGCAGCGATGAGGAAGGCGGAGGAGATGTTTTTTTTTTGTTCACAGAGGAAGGCGAGGTGGTCAAGCACAGCATGACAACCAAGCAAGCAGCCCTGGATGCAGCGTATCAGGCCCTGGCCCAGGACATGGAGCAGGCAGTTGCTAGGAGCGCGGATACGCAACTTCGTCAACCGTCTCTTCGCGGCAAACCACCCACGGTGAAATGGGTCCCCGCCGCGGCCTTCCAGAAGAAGCACCAGAAGTCTTGGGTTCTGGGGCTCCCTGGCGAAACCTCTGATCTGGCTCAGGGGCAAAGCGCAGGAAACTAGAGCCTTCTTCGCGGGCAAGTGCAACGATATTCGGAACCAAGATCCGCATCACCAGGTCACGCCGCAACGAAAATGTCACGAATTTCGGTGTCCAGAAAGTGTGACCAGCATTCCCAGATATGACGTCAACTGGGCCTTAGAAGAGGTTCAGTCCCCGCCCCGGCAGTTCAGCAACTCTGGGTCGCTCCAGCAGACCCTGGATACGCTTAGGAACCTCCTGCCGACCATCGGTCTGGACAGCCAGGCCGGTTGCCTCAACGCCGAGTTGGTCGATCGCATGTTCGTTGATTTCTTAGATGAGCTGGAGGGTGGCATCAGCCAGGAGGAGAGGCAGAGCGCCAGCGACAGCAACAAGCAGTGGAGGGACTGGGTGGCCGAGGCCGCGCAAGGAGGAGCGGGCAAAGCACGCGCCTACTCTCGCAGCTCTCCCCCCTGGCAGCCGCGGGCAGTTAGGCGTGGAGGCAGGTGGTCAGGGAGGCCCAGTCACCTGCTGCAGGCTGAGGCAGGTAGGTTGCAGGAGCTGCGGCCGTCCTTATCTCACGAAGGCCCACTGTTTCAGGGGGCCCCAGATGAAGAGCCGCCGTCACCACTACAGCCTCAGCAGATCCTTGCAGCTGCCAAAACCTCCCCCAAGACCACAGGGATGACTTGGGACGGTTTTCACCCAGTGCACTTCAAAATGATTGGCCAAGTTGGGCTGGAGCTAATGGCTACCCTGTTCAAACTCGTGGAGGCCCTGGGGGGCCTTTCCCACTCCGCTGCGCGCTGTTCTGACGGCGATCATTCCGAAGCACAAGAAGACAGGCAGCCAGCCCCAGTACAGAGGTATAGGCATGCTCCCCAGCCCTTACATGTTATGGGCACGCGCTAGGCAGCACGCGGCCAAGTCTTGGGAACAGAACCACAAGAGAGGGTTTTTGTGCCACCAATCGGGCAGGTCCATTTGTGAACTAGTCTATATGCAGGCCTTAAGTGCAGAAAGAGGACAGTACGTCAACCCCGTTATGCACATTGGCACGATCATGTGGGATTTAAGCAACGTTTACGAGCATGTGGACAGAGAGGACCTGTACCAGGAAGCGCTCCACAACAAGTTCAGCACCCACATTTTATCGGTCATTCTCAATCAGCATAAGTCTAGAAGGTTAGTGTCGTTCTCGTCTATGGTCACCGACGTGGGCTACACCACCAGGGGCATCCCAGCAGGCGTCAGCTTCGCCACTTACCTCGTTCAAATTTATTGCATCAGCGAACTAGACGCCTGGCAGTCTCAGCACAGCATGGTGCAGCTGAGCGTCTTCATCGACGACTTCCTCCAGCAAGCTCAAAGCAGTTCTATGCTGACGGTGCTGACAAACCTGACAGATGCAGCCCATGACATGCGACAGGTGATCGAGTTAGACCTACAGTGCTCTGCGGCCGATCACAAATCAGCAGTCCTTGCGTCTTCCGAGAAGTTGCAGTTGCAGATAGTCAAGGCCCTTGGAACCAAAGGCGGACAGGCACTAGACTCGGCAGCCAACTTAGGCATCGACTACAGCGCTGGGCGCAGCAGAATGTACAAGAAGTACATGCCTACAGCAATAGGACGGCACGCAAAGCTGCGCAAGCGCCTCTTCAAACAGCCTTCGGGAAGGAGGGGCTAACACCAGTAAGCTGTACTCAGGTGGGTTGCAGCAGGCAGGGTACTACGGGGCGGAGGTAGTAGGAGCGGATGACGGAGAAGTGAGGGCTATTCAAACCACGTTTTTAAAAGCATGCGGCCCAAGATGCACCACCAGTCTCGCTCCCTCTGCCTCCTTCTCCTCAACGACCCCACATGGAAGGTAGCATGTGGCCCATGCCTGACGTGGGCAGCAATTGTTTGGAGGGCAGCAACAGCCGATGCAGGGGGCTGGACACTGCCTCAGCTGCGCGATTTGGTGGAGCCAATTTTAAAAGCACCCCCTGAGAGATGGACAGAGTCCCGGGGCCCTTTCGGAGCTTGTCCGTTGTCTCTCGGAAGGATTGGGTGGAAAGCGTTGAGCCCTTTTAAGTGCCAAGATAAAGGGCGGCAGGACCTATATCCCCACCTCCGTGTCGCCCGCGCTCCTCTCCGCAGCGCCACAGAGAGCCTGGAGGGACAGGCTGGTGGAGCAAGCGAGCCAGCGACTGGGATGGGTGGAGGA